TTCACCAAGCCAAACGATTTTGGAACGAAACTCAATTACGGGCAACTTTCGACATTCCAACTTCCTCACTTGTGCGACGGTTTTTCCGTCCACCTGCGACGCGGTAGCGACGGACGGACGGAAACTAAAAACTATTCCTCAAGTTTCTTTGGAATGATCAATATGTTGACCGAATGAACGAAGTCACCGCCTCGCCACTCACTCGTCGAGTTCAAAGAACGAGTTTCGAGCGAACTGTGCGAGGCTTGACGAGCAGATCCGCCGCCGGCAGACCGACCGACCGACCGACAAGCAGGAGTCGTCGTCGTCGTCTAGTCGACGAAGACTACCGGGTCGATACTCGGCGGTTGGCGGGATATGATTTGCGGCAGTAGTGAGGGCAACTGAAAAGTCGATGTGTGCCGGCGACAGCAGCAGTCAGTCAACTCACAGCTCTACCCTACTGCCACCATGTCTGGCAAGGCAAAACACGACGCAGCGCCGCAGGAATTCGCGGTATGCACGAATTTATTTCTCAGTTGTAAACGTCCTCATTCCTCTGGATTTCCCGTCATTTAGCAACAACGCGAAAACGAGCCTTAATCGATATAAATCCACCCGTCTCTACCTTTCCATTGAGTTCAAAGTTGCTTTGCGGCCTCCTGCGTGAGTCACGCCTGACTTGCGTGAAACTTAATCGAGTATTTTAATGCACACCTGTTCTACCGGTCACCGGAACTGAACTTCATTATCTCTTGCCATTGAAGATACCAAAAAGATGCCAAGAGAGCCATAAACTTTTCTTCTGACTCTTCATTAAGCCCATTATGGCGTATTAAATAATTTGGCTCAAATTCTGGATCATAGCCGAATTTTATGCTACAAAGCGTCATCCGTCTAATCCATGTCTGTCGTCAGGCACTACCACGTTGGAAAAGATCAAAGCAAAATAAATTTTTTGGCGATCTGGTTGGAAAGTATTGCATTTTTAAATAAATGAACGTATCCTCGTTTCAAACTTCGAATCAACTTTCGAATAACTAGAGTTCTGGGGGTGCGGTATCGAACTACAGCCGTATTTCCTCCAGTGATGTGCAATTCCGTTTCAGACGAAACCCTTTGCTAAACGTTTCTTCTAATCTAAGCTCGGTCGCGAAGCGATGACCGCGTAGTGAAGTTGGAGAAGCCACTAAATTACGGTGGAGTAGTTCTGGCTAAACATTTCGGTAGCATAAAGATTTTACAGTACCGGTTGTTGACGAAGAAGCGTTGACGAGCAATCTCTTCATTTTCCTACGACTAACGCGTCAGGTGGAAAGATATGGCGATTCCTAGTGGAAGTCTTTGAGTTGTCAATCTGCATTTATATAGGAAGAATCGAAATAAAGCTTTTTAGTAGCTTACCTTGGTTTGTGATAGTTTTTATAGTAGCCTACTTTGGATGACTAACAGGCTTGGGATAATTGGGTGGTTTCCTGATAGTGGCGCCGGTGTACTGCGTCGAAATGCTTTGCGGCATAATCATCATCATCATCTTCCAGCGCCGATTCTCCTTTCGGGTCGCGGAGGCAGACAGAGCTTCCAACGTTCCCGATCCTGTGCCAGAATCTGAGCTTCGACAAAAGACAACTGGAGTCTGGAACAGACTCCTTCCATATGTTTGCACCAGGTTAATCTTGGCCGTCCCCTGGGCCTTCTACCGGTCGGATTTGCAAGGAGCAGTTGCTTAGCCTTCCTTTCTACTGGCAATTGATTAGGTTATATGCAACAGTCTTTTCTTGATCTTCATCTTCATCTTCCATCGCCGCTTCTCCTTTCGGATCGCGGAGGCAGACAGGTCAGACAGCTTCCAAAGTTTCCGATCCTGTGCCAGAGTCTGAGCTTCGGCAAAAGATAACTGGAGTCTGGAACGGACTCCTTCCATATATTTGCACCAGGTTAATCTTGGCAGTCCGGTGGGTTTTCTGATGGTGGATTTCGCAAGAAACAACTGCTTAACCTTGTTTTATGGACGCATTCGCCCAAACCATCGCAGCTGTGACTCAATCTGGAGAAGCAAAGGCTGTATTCCAAAGCTCTTCCGGATGTCAGTGTTCCGGATTATGTCGAGACGCGTAAGTACTAGCCAGCGACCCGTCTAAGAAAGCCCATTTCAGCAGCTTGTACTCAGGTTCGAAGACTTTGCCTTACGGCATAAACTGTTTGTAAACTTCTGCCTTGAATCATGAGTCCTTGAAGGAGTGTAATTGTAAGTTTTGCTAACGTAGAAGCAGCTCAGTCATTGACTTTCTATTCAAATTATTTTCTGCAAATTTTCATCTACAAAAGCATGTCAGGCCATCATTTCCAAAGTCTCTTTACCAGTCTTTGTTAGCAAGGGGTGGTGCATGGGAGAAGAGAACGGCACTAACTAGGACGGAATGCATCTGCATTTTGTTTCACACCTACAGTGGTGGTGAAAACCTATCAGTAACTTTATCTGAATACTCTAACACAAATCTGTGAGAAGGTTATTATCCAGTCTTTGTGTTTCGTCGTACTAATCCGATGTAATGATTTGCATCGCCATTCGTTCGACAATACTGATGTAAACGTACGGTAGTTGGTGTGAGGTGACATGCTAAGGATGAAACGATGCTTTCGAGTCAAAATGCCTTATCAATGGTACCACGAGTATATATTTTGCTTCGGCCTAAGATTGGAGTTTACGTACGGACATGCCTGATTCATATCCCGCTCAGCGACGCTACGTTGCATCAAAGTAGCATCGTTGTACAAATGCCACCGAACCTTGACCTGCTTACATGCACTCCCGCTCCCCTTTAGACATCTTGAAGGAAGATGACGGTACCAATTGCCTACAACGCTGTATAATGATATACGTCTTATTCAATATGGAAAATATCGGTGTAAATCAACGGTGATTGGGGTGAGCCAAAATTTTAAAGGTTATTAGTTACTTGTGTGTGGCTTCAGGTTTATTCTGCTCTGATTTTGAATTGTCATGGACCCTCGCAGTTCTTCTCATCATCAGTTTGAGCGGATTGCACAATCAGAGTGTCACTGATTTGTCACGCTTTGGCATTCTCAGTTTTTCAATACTGTTTTTCGACCAGGCGGTGATTGCGATACATCACTGAAAGGTAACTTCCTTCTGGATTCAATTTTACTTTGACCGAGTCCATTCAAGTTGCTTAACGGCCTGCAGATAGCCTTAAATCATGCTTCAGTTTCCGCAGTGAGAATGTTTTGCCAAGTACATATGTCTTAACTGGTCAACCTTCTTTGTCCAATTTTTACATCTAACAAAGATATGTGTTTGGAAGACAATAAATTCGTTCTATACATGGTTCTACCTTTTAACATTTTGATACGTGCACGCCGGCTCCGCTGTACGTCATTTAGCTGCCGTTAATCATTTTCCTCTGTTGTATTCCTATTCTGACCTGATGGAGGTTAAGTATTGACAATTTTTCTATAATCGATTGTTCCTTTCTTAGACAAAGCACTCGAAAAGCTAACAAGACACCGAAAATAAGGGTGATTTTGCTGTTTACCGCGTACTGTCGCCGGCGACGATGAAAGCGCGATGCCATGTCTAATCAGGCTGATGATATTAGTTAAATATGACGCCATTTCGCTGCAAACGAGCCACTTAATTTTAAAATCGTGAAAAAAACATTTTAATTGTGTGCAAATATCCTCATGTTAAAGTTCTCCTTTTGAAGAATGTTAAAGCGAACACTGTAGTTGTTCATACATCATGTTAGGTCATTCCCAGTAGCAGTGACTCTGCCAGTAACGAAGATTTACGATGATAATCGGCTTGGTTACTGTCAGGGCCTTGCTGTTATAGCAAAGCAGTTCACTTCGTTTCCTGCCGAGACTACTCAGCTTGATGGCTTGATGGTCATGCTTGTTTTATGAACCTGCAAATCAATTTCGATCGCGTATGTGAAGTCACTGTATTTTTCTCTCTGAAGCGAACTGTTCTTGTCACTGGTGTGTGCCAGTTAGATAAAATCGGTCACTTAACTCAGAGCGCATCAGTACCATAGATCCTTTCCTGATTGCGACAGTGCTAGAATCGAAAGATCCAGCGCGTTCGTTGCCCACTAAGAAGAAGTTTTTTCACTTCGGCAAGGACCGTGTTATACGTTATAAAGTGACATTGAAGCATATCTCTTCAGCTCTGTGAATGTCCGATGTTATCTGTCAAGGATAGTGGCTTCTGTTCGATAATCTGCGATGAGCAAGACAACGGATACTGATCATACAATTCTGAACAGGCTAAGATTGCGTTTGCCGTTAAACTGGTGTAAAATGCTAGCATTGCTTCTAATTTGTTATTCTGTCATACAGTAAACTATAATGATATCATGCTTGACCAATCAGAAATGATTTTCTAATCTTGAACATTATCATCCGTTCAAAGTGAAGACCGCATGACAGACTTTTATCATCGTCCTTTCACTCACAAATGTAAAAAAGCAATTCGAGGGATCGTTCTTTCCTATCCTCACTGATTTTCATCCAACAATTAATGCATTCACATACGGCCTATTTCAGTATCGTCTTCTCATTCTGTTGTACAAGACAGAAATGCGTTGATATGCTTGATACTCTGGGTCAGGAAAGAGTTACATTAAATGAGTCAACCGTGCATGGGATCGAGAAATATTTCTAGAATAGCTTTAAACCACTTCTGTTTTTGCAAGTGATTGCTTTACCACTCTTCATTCATGCGTAATCTCCCAATGCACAGAATATGTGTAAAACTTTCATTGTTTTATCGAATGTCAAATAACAGACGTTATGCTTTGTGTGGAGAAAAATACAAAATTAATGAAAGTGTCTTGGCAGCTTTGTTACATTGCACGTTCCAGGTGTTGATCGTTCAAGCCGTGCTAAGGTGCTTTCTTCTTTCCAGTTTCTGATTTCTTGCACCACGTATCAATCGAAAATTTCGTTTTCCATACCAATAGTTTTCTCGGTTTTGAGTCCATTAAAAAATGATTAAATTTATTCATGTAACTTAATACGAACGAATGCAAAGATTTTAAGCAGTTGCTGCCTTTGTTAGGGTCTGAAATCTGAATTTCATGTGTATCTAATGGGTTGAACGACTTTAAAATGCATATAAAGCTCTGTAAAACGCGGCTGTCGCAGAAGGTAGTTTGGTGCATTGTCCGAAAGTTGTGCAGAATTCAACAGCTTAAGTGTAAACCTGATGACAAACGAAAACTAAGAAATATTGGATTAATAACCAGAATAACGAACTGCAAGGCAATGGATGAAATTCACATGGAAGTACCTGACAAATCGTCACTCACGTTACGAATATGCTCAAAATTAAAGGAAGCAACAGGAAATTGTAAGCCC